CAATCTAATATGAGTCTTGCGCAAGTAGGAGATTGAAAGATCTAGTATGCTCAAGAATCATATTAAAGTGATATTGTTAATTAACATACGATATTAATGGGTCACACTAACAACAACCTGATACATTTGATTATTTATTAGAAATTGATTTTAATAAATATTCAATAAACTCTTATAATTAATTGGAAATTATTTATTTCATGGAAATATTAGTTTTCATTAGCAAGTAACATAATATATAAATATATATATATATATATATATATATATATATATATATATATATATGATTCATTAAGTCATGTATATTATTTTGGACTAGAAATACTCTTTTGTCTTTTAGCTAAAAGCTAAAGTTTATATCTTATAAAGAGTTATAAGAATTTTATAAACTTGTCTTCTCTTTTATTTATAAAAAAATATGGGCTAGTTTCTAGGAAACAAAACATGCTCTTTTAAATATAATAAGAGAAAGCAAGCATGGCGTAAAAAGGCATGGGAGACATGTAGGCTTTAGGATATGGAGTGCTTAAAGTGTTAAGAACTCTTGGGGTAATGATTTAGCTTTATGAAGGCTTTCATTCCTTCATTTTTACTCACTAAAACCGTAGCTTCCTCATATTCTTTCATATTCTCTCTTGCAAAGAAGTGTTAGAAGATTACTTGCTTGCATTTTGCTCTCTTAAAGTCATATTTGGATATGGACTTAAATCTTAAGAGTTTTGACTAGCATCTACATCAAGTTGGCTTCATGTTGGTGTCTTAAAGGTTCCACATTCTTCATCAACTTCCAAGCCTCCCAAGAGGACCCCATGAACAAAAAAGTGGTTAAACTCTTATTCTTCTTTGGTGCTTGTTTTCTCTCCAAACTTTGCAAGAAGATCCATGGTTGGTTATAACTAGTTTATAATTGTTCAAAAATACTCAAGTCTTCTGTTGCTAAAATCATGTATTTGAAACTAATTTTTGAATAAAAACCCAACAAAACATACAAAAGTTTGATGAAGCTTGACGACGTGTACAAACATCATCAGTAGGATCTCTAATAACTTGTGAGAGAGGATGATCATGAACATTACGAAGGAAGATTGATCAGAAGATCTAGTCATATCATCATAGGCATAGTTGTCTTTTTAACAACTTTCATATAATTTGCAAGAAACTCTCTCACCAACACAAATCCTAACACCAACTATACCACATAGTTTCGACGTCTACCACTGACAGCCTCCTGCCACCACCGCTACCTACCTTCATTGACACTTCCCTCTACCAGCCACTGTCGTACTACCGCTTTAGACTGCCTGAAAGCTCACCAACCGCCTCCAGCCTCTAAGATCTGAAATTTTCCAGCACCTATACCTTCTTCAACGAAGCTCCTAAACATCTTTCCTTTTGTTTCCTTTCATTCCAGAACCTTCAGCGGAACCCTACAACTGCAATTTCATCTAAAAGGACTCATACTTGAAGTTCTTTGGTCTAGATCTATGATCTCCGACGTTAAATCTATGATTTACGCCTCTAGATCTATGATTAATCCTCTAAATCTATGAGCCCCAATGAGATTGATGGACTAGATCTAAGACTGCCGTTAACTGCCACCACTGTTGTTTCCTCGTCACTCATATGAAACACCGCGAACTCGTCCCCATTCCTTTCTCTCTAATCTTTGGTGAAACATCACTGATCTGCATCAGGTATGTCGATTTTTGCTTTGATTGTTTTTCCCTCTATTAAATTGTGAATTTAATGCTTTAATTTATCTTTTGTTGTTTACTTTTCTTAATTTTAGTTTTAACTACTCTAAAGTTGTAAATCCACTACTATCAATTTGTTAATCCAAGCTTTTTTCTTATTTGTTATGATATTTGCATAAAATTGTGGTTCATAGTTTAGGTTTTTTGGTTGTTATCCTTTGAAATGAATTTAGAATATGTTTTTATGTCAGTGTTTTCTCAAATAATGTGAGTATAGGTTTTTTAGGCTGTGAATTGCGATGTTTTAATGTTCCACTAATTGTTTAGTTTTGTTAATGTTAGTTTTAACTATTATTAATAGAAAAATATAAGTTTTGCGCTATGAATGGATGAGGTTTTTATAAGTTTTAAGTTGTGAATATATAGTTTCTATAAGTTTTAAGATATAAATGCATATTTTCTACTTAATTTTATACTTACATCTGTTGTAGATCTCTAAGATGTACTTTTTTTATTGTTTTTTCTTTTGTTAAGGTGTGAATTTAATGTTTTGATCTCTTATTTGTTGTTTTTTTTGTTAATCTTAGCTTTATCTGCTATTAACTTGTGAATCCAAGTTTGTTTTCGTATTTGCATAGAATTGTTGTTCATAGGTTATGTTTTGCGGTTGTTATGTTGTGAATTAAATTTAAAATGTGTATTATTATGTTAGTGTTTTCTCAAATAATATGAATCTAGGTATTGTAAGCTGTGAATTCTGATCTTTTAATGTTCCACCAATTTTTTAGTTATGTTAATGTTAGTTTTAATTTTTGTTAACAAGAAAATATAAGTTTTATACTATAAATACATGATTTTTTATAAGTTTTAAGTTGTCAATACATGTTTTTTATAAGTTTTTAGTTGTGAATGTATGATTTTATAAATAGATATGAATATCTTTGTGTAGACCACATAAGGTGTTTGATGATTTTCTTCAATGAAAAACATAAATTTTAAGTTTTGAATGCATAATTTTTATACATATTTGACTGCTTTAAAGAAAAACATAAGTGTTAAGTTGTGAATGCATGATATTTTATACATATCTGATTGCTTTAATAAAAAAAACATAAGTTTTAAGTTGTGAATGCATGAATTTTTATAAGTTTTATATTTTTCTTGTGTTAGTGTTTTCTCAAATAATATTAATTTAGGTTTTTTTTAACTTTGAAATTTTGATATTTTAATGGTTCATTTAAGTTATAAATGCATGATTTTTTATTAAGTTGTAAGATGTAAATGCATGATTATTTTTATATAGATCTGATTCCTTCAATAAACGACATAAATTTTAAGCTATGAATGCAAGATTTGTTATACAAATCTAGTTTTTTCAATACAAAACATAAGTTTTAAGTTTTATATGATTTATTATAAGTATCAAGTTGTAAATGCTCAAATTTTTTTATACAAATCTGGTCTGGAAGGAAAGATGGTAGAGGTATTTGCACCGGTGGTTGGTGGTGGCGTGTGGTAGTTGGCGGTGGTGATGGTGGTGGTTGTGGTTTGGGTTTGAATTCTATTACGTTGTAAATTAATGTATAATGGATTGTATTAAGTTGTGAATTAATGTATAATAGACTTTACTAAGTTATGAATTAATGTATAAATTTATGTTAAATTGGAAATGACTGAATTAATATGTTTATCATAACTGTGAATATAGTATATAAACTATGAATATGTCTTAGTTGAAACATGAAAAGTGATGTTTTTGTCATTTTTCACTACAATACAATATTTTCATAATTACGTCAAATCCATCTACATTTTTTATTGAGAGACTAAAATTAGTGTTTTCAATTTTCTAAAAGGTTAGATTTTTTTATAGAGATCTACAATTTATGATAAATTTTTGATTTATCAAGGCATAGTTTTATTACATTAATTTATGAGAAAATGGTTTGTATTCAAAATTATTACCAAAGAAATAGGATCTATAATGTTTGTTCTATTAAGCTATGAATATGAGCAAAAAAATGTCACTGAATACGGAATTAGTCCCACAATTATTTAATGACCTTCCGATGGTGGTCCGACGGTGATCAGGCAACATGTGTTAGTTGGTTGTAAAGGAGTGAAGGAAATAGTTTGCTTCATGTAATATTAAATGTTTGATTTGTCAAAAATTCTTTTAATTAGAGAATTAACAAATAGTTTCAAGAGTTCCTAACCTTTCTGTGTGTGTGTGGGTGGGTGGGGGGGAGTTTATATCGAGAATGGTTATAGACCAATTATTATATAAGGGAATTATAGAAATTTTACCATTAAGTCATAATTAACTATTAAAATAGAATAATTATGATTTCCTAAAATTATGGAGTTTTAAATTTAGAGGGTGTTTGGGAGTTCATCCAAAAAACTCCTTTTAAACTTATTTACTTCTTGAAAAGTAAATAAGTTGAAAATAGTGTTTCGGTATCTTAAAAGGACTTTTAAAATAAATTTGGTTTAGCATTTCAAAAGGAGTTTTGAATAAGTTATAATTTCTTACTTTTAGGATTAACTTATGACTTTTTAGATAAAAACAACAAGCAAAAGACAAATTTACCCTAAACCCTGCCATCAGATCGTAATCAGCTCGCATCCACAACTCTCCCACCTGTCCACTGTAATTGTTTCTTCTGCATATCTCTCTCCTGACCGACACGTTTCCTCCCGCGTTTCAGGTATGATCGCTTTTTTTCTTCTTTTACTCCTGATCGATTCCATAATGTCAACTGGAATCGATTTCTGAATTGGTTTCTGATTTTGAAATTGGTTTCAGATTTTTTTTTTCTTTTACTCCATTTCTGTCATGTTTGATTTCTGAAATCGATCTCATGTTTAATCTCATCTCAATTGCTTTCTGATTACGCACATGCCATTGATTGACTGATTTTGAAGTCAATTTTTGATTGCACCTTGAATAGAATTGATTTCTGAAAGTGCACATTGAATGTGATGTATATCTTTGTTTAATTTGATAACGATCTTGCCATGTTCATCTGCTATGTGTAGTGTGTTTTTGCTTCACTATTTTCTTTGATTCTGATCTTGATATGTTCATCTGAAATTGATTGACTGTTTCACAGTGTTTCCTTTTATGCATCAGTGATGTCTATTTTAGGTAGTACTCTTTTCTTTGCATCATGTTGTTTATGTAGTAAATTGGATTTTCAATATGATTTTTCAGATAATGGAAATGACCTAAAATGTTGTTAATTATGAAACTCTTAAGACAAATAATAAACAAAAATTGTTTGGGATAATGATACTTTGATGAAGTTTATCAAATTGTGCTTGGTTGAAAAAGAAAAGGGGAATAGACCCTATAGTCATTTCAATAAGCTTGGGTGGGCGAATTTAGAGAAAGGCAGGCAGGAAGAAACATGCAAAGTGAGTGTTAAAAACAAATTTAAAACAAATTGGTGAACTTGAAAAAAGAATGGAAGCTTTATGACCACTTAATGAGGCTTGAAATTGTAATCGGTGGAACAAGAAGCTTATTAGATGCATCGCCTGAGTAGTAGGTGGAGAAAATAAAGGTAACATTTACCATTCTTTTTAATCATTTTGTAGTTATGCTTGCATGGTGAAATCTGTGAATTAAACGTCATATATTTATCTTGTAGGTTGATAAAGACTTCGCCAAATTTAGGGGCACAGATTTGTCCATATATAAGACGTATTATGCTCCTTTGTTTCGGGATTCCGTTGCTGCTGGAGATCATTCTATGACTCCGTTACGATTTATAAACGATGATGGAGGTGAAGAAAACTTGGAGGGAAATGGAGATAATGAGGAAATCAATTTAATTAATGATGAGCCTCTTTTTCCTACTTACCCTCAAACTAGTTCGAGTAAAAGGAAGAAGTCTAAGGATATTTCCAACAACCGTTCAACCAATAGTAAAAGTTCATATCTTGAGGAAAAACTAGAAGTTTTATTGGATTCCCTATCAACAAAAAGCACACAAACCTTTCCACCGACTACTCCCTCTCCAACCAACACTATCAGATTACATGAACATTGTGGTCACTTTTCTAGGTTTCAATGAAGGTTCAACACATTATTCATAAGCATTACTTGCTCACGTCAAAAAGAAAAATCGGGAAGCCTTTATGTTGCTAATGACTACCAACGCGAAGACGGATTTCCTTAAGTTACTTATGAAGAATTGATGTGTCACTTGAATAATTGATGTATTATCTTTTATGCGTTATCGTTTGACATTATGTGTTATCTTGATCTCGTGTGACAATATGTGTTATCGTTTGACATTACGTGTTATCCTTTTATGTGCTCTCGTTTAACATTATGTATTATCCTTTTATGTGTTCTCGTTTGACATTATGTATTATCCTTGTATGTGTTATTGTTTGATGTTATGTACTTGGCATTTTATATGATGTGCTACCATTAAAATTATATTTTTTTTTTACATGATCTGTTATTATGTGTTATTATGTAGGATGGATAGTGATGACTCTGATTCATATGATGATAATGAAGAATATTTTACGGAAGAGGATTTAGAATTCAAAAGATTATGTGGATTAGCTATCACAAGGATAATACTTGTTCATAAGATGCGTAACAAACGTACGCCGTGTCACACATCGGATCACACAGGGAACATATTTATTGATGACATTTTAAATGGGGGTGGCAGGCGGTGTTACGAAATGTTTAGGGTGCACTTACTAGTATTTAGACAATTATGTTTTTATCTTGCTACAAATTAGGGGTTGAAAGGAACACGTCATATTTCTATTGAAGAGTCGGTAGGAATCTTCTTAATAACTTTGGCTCATTGATGTATGAATAGGTTCTTGCAAGAAATTTTTAATCATTCGGTGGAAACAATTTATAGGCATTTTCATACAGTTTTGGCACCCGTTCTCAAGATGAGTGTCGACATAATCAAGCAAGCCACTAATTATAATGATGTCTTACCCGAATATATATTAAATCATCCTAATTATTATCCAATGTTAAAGGTATTATCTAATGTTTCTAGTTACTTTAATGTTAGTCAAACTTTAACAAATGAATGTTGTCCTTTTTTAATTTGTATGATTGCATTGGCGCTAGAGATGGGACACACGTGAGGGCATCGGTTCCACAATCTTAAGAAGCAAAATACATTGGTCGGAAGGGATATGCCACACAAATTATCATGGTTATTGTCACACCCCTGAACCAGGACGGCGGAAACGTCCAGGGGTGGATGACGTCATTGTATAGTATCATAACATTTGAATATAAATGAAACATAGCAACCAAACGACATACATTAAGAATACAAACTTACACAATTTACAAATTGTATTTGTTCATAAGTCACACAAAAGTGACAAAAGTAAAGTTTCATAGTGCTGCATCGCTCAAGCTTAAAACATATTTGCTAACCTGTTACTGTTCCCTGAGAATACAAGTCATTTTGAAAAGCGTCAACTAAAAAGTTGGTGAGTTCATAAGCATTTTTGTATGAAAACGATTTGTAACTACTTTGTTTGAAAGGTTTTGTATGTTTCCAGAAAATCCGATATTTTCTATAAAAATGGTTGTATGCCTTGTACCAAAGACTAAAATGTATGTATGCATGTACTTTGTATCTTGTAAATGTAAGTTCCCAGAAAATCCAATATTTTCTGATGTATGAAAAGCCGTAGCCTTAAATCCTAAGACCGGAATAGTATCTTGAAAAGTAGTATGTAGTTTTATATTTTAATAAAGTCGGTGAAGTGTAAGCTTCCCGTAAACCGAGATAGTATTGTTAATCCCTATGTGAGTTATTATAACCATGTTAATACGATTTGTGCTCGCGTGACGTTCTTTAGGCGTCGGAACTTGGGAAGACATTTGTCACCCTAGACTTGCCGGTCTAACTATAGCGAACAGCTGAGGTGTGGGATTGGCAATCCCGTATAGATCTATACACAACGGTCTCGCTCTCCCTCCAGGAGACTCTGGTTATAATGCAGGACTTAAGGTGTACTCTAGGTAGGTACGGTGAAGAGTAGGTCTCACTAGAGCATCAACGGATTTATGTGAACTACGACTCCCTTTTATTGTATAGTCGAGTAATTTCACTTTATGAAAACTTATGACATGAGTTTTATGACACACAAAGTAAACTATCAATATTTTGCCTTGTATATTTTTGTGTAACTTTTTATATAAATATTGAGTTGAAATCTTGTCTGGTTGTAATATATGTTGTAAGAACATAATATTCTTGTGTTTTGACCCATTGAAATAGTAATGACTAAAATATGACCACTTTTACTAGAATAACTATTCTTAGTAAAAAGAGTTACCAAAACTTGTAGTTTTTAGAACTCATATTTTCTTGTTGGTACTTATATCACATAATGAGTATTATTTATTTTTGTACAACCAACTTATATACACGACTTTTGTGTAGATAAAGTAGTGTTCACCATATCTTATGCAAATATTATTTCACATTCAAATAATAAAGATGAAACTTAGCAAATATTCATAAGATAAACATATTTTGGACTTGTATTCCCCCCTAAAAGCATGAAAACTCGAAAAAAATGGGGGTATGAAGCTCACCTTGGGTTAGTTTGTGGATGATTTGAAGAGTGGTGAAGAGACTTCGAGCCTAAACACTAGGATGCTCTTGATGAACTCCTTGAAGCTTATAAAACCCTAAGAAGGTCAACACACGAATTTTGTGTGTAAAGAGGATGAAATTTACATAATAAGGTGTAAAAACACTAGGATTTGTCGAAATTACTTACCAAAAATCTAAGGATCACCTAATTGATGAAGGTTTGTAGAAATAACTAAGCTTGTTCTTGAGAGAACTTCTTGTGAAAAATGGAGATGATGAGAGGCAGGATATTGAAAGAAATGGTGAAGAACTTGTCTTCTGGACGTGGTTTAAACCAAATAAGTGTGTATGGACATTTGATAGGTATTTGAATGTTGTGCATGGTAGTTTGTTGGATAAAATCATGCAAAGCTGAAGTATCCACTTTTGAGGTCAATACCCCATTATTTTAAGTTGTCACCGTACAGGAACTTGCTGGAACTCGTTTATGTGACCGAAATCACCCCATCCCTTGGGGATTTCGGTCCTAATGGTTCTAGAATGGAGTTTATGGTCAAACTATGGTCCATTAAGGTGTTTCCGGCCAAGCTATGGCCCATTAAAGGTGTTTACGGCCAAAGGGGTGGCCCATTGAAGTGTTTTCGGTTTTGAATGATTCCCATGGATGTGTTTACGGTTCTAGTTAATAGGAAACTCAAATATGGTGGCCTTAGAATTTGAGTGTCCAAGGTTGTGACAAAATTACAAGTTCTTGTGTTAACACCATTTGATTCTTGTTTGATTGTATTTGATTACTTAAGGCTTATGGCAACATGAGCTCCAAATGTATATTATAAAACATCATTGTATCAACGTTAAACATTGCATATACACTTACATACAAGACCCTTTAGACTTGGTTTGACCCGAAATTTTCTAGTTGTCACAGTTGTTTGTGATTTTAATATGTGTTTTACATTTGTGTTGGCCGTATTAGAGGGAACCGCACATAACACAAGGATTTTGGATCCTTACAGAGACCAAACCTTCATTTTCCACATCCAACGGGTGGTTAGTATAATTTTTTAATAATGAAAGTTGAATGTTTTTCTTACATGTTTGAAATGTATACCAAATGTTTGCTTTATATGCAGTGCTACCTGAATACCATAGGGTATTTTGCTCCATACAAAGGTATGAACATTCATTATCATCTACCAGATTTTCGACGTGGAAAGACTGCTGCAATGCGTTATCCTCGCGGGCCAAAGGAGTCATTTAACTATCTCCACTCATCATTGCGCAATCTCATTGAACAAACTTTTGGAGTGTGGAAACGTAGGTTTACGTTATTGAAAGTTATGCATGTTAATTACACATACGAGCACCAAGTATGGATAGTGATAACATCAATGGCGGTCCATAACTATATAAGAAAGGCTGATAGATTTCATGAAGCATTTAACAGGGTACAACAAGAATCTTATAATCTCATTGAAGCTGATAATAGTAATGAAGCGCATAAAGAAGGTACAAGTACACGTCGTACAAATGATAATGATATATATGACAGCGGTACAAGATATGATTGCGGGAGAGATAACAAGATCACAAGGATAATTGTAATATGAAATTACATTCGATTTTTTAAGAATTATTTACAACTAGATGGAATTAGCTGCGCCTTTGGCGCCTTGTTTCTTTTTTTTCTTTATTTAAATAAATAAGAAAACATACTATAATTTTTGCAAAAGGATAGCTGGAATTAGGTACGCCTTTGTCGTCGTGTTTCTTTTTCTTTCTTACGGCATTTGATTTCTTGTGATGACGTTATATGAGGTTGTAGTAAATAAGGAAGCATATTATAATTGTTTTAAATACATATTACATATATGGAGGGAGTGTTCATACGACATTCATAGCAAACAGTACGTTATATTTGGAAAAGCAACAACTTATCAATAAGGTTGGTAATTTCATCAATCACTGCATAATAAATTTCAAATCTCTCTTTCAAAACCTAAAAACTTGTAACTATAAGTTTTTTATATCATTTGTAGCTAATGAATACAAAAGGTGTCTTACCTGTTGTGATGCAGCCTTCCATCTCCTATCACTAACAAACAATGCATAATTTCAATTTTAGAATACACCATCTAATAGCAACGCACTTTCACCCATTTCCAAATAGATCCCTCCTACCCTGGCTGATTCGACGTTGTTGTTTACTACCATCCGACAGAGGTGGTTTTTAGTTTTTTGGTCAGCGTAAGTGCAGATGTAGTCTTCAATGTCAATTTTTACAATGTTACTCATCAGTTTATCAAACAACTTTGAGCCTGACTACAAACAAAACACATAGATTGAATGCATATTAGACAAAGATATGCAAATTGCCATGTATTTCAATTCCACTATTCCGTTTCTATAAAAAAAAACATTTTTGGACATTTTGTATATCTGTTTTTACTTCTGTAGTTTAACAATATAATACATCTTAGTATCTCATAAAAAGCATATTGTATACCTAAAATTTTAGATTATTACATTTTACTCATGTTTTCTTTTGATAAAAATATAATTTTTTTAAAAAAATAGAAGTTGTATTTGAAACCAGTTTCGGTCCCAATGGTTCCATGAGTCGTTCCAAAATATGAGAAACCAATGTAACCGATTCCGTTTCTGGTTCCAACAATATGCTCATCCCTAGTAGTGACTGTTGCCATTTATATTTAGCATTAACTCCATACAAAAGGTAAAATAGTTGTTTACAGTTATTCAACTGAAAAAAAAAATATTTGTTTACCTTTTTGGGAGAAGTCAAAAGAGCTGCATAGCGACGTAATGTTTGTTTTAAAGTTCATAAACGGAAAGGGGGTGTAAGGAAAATCAACCATTTCGTGTTTCATCTTGTTTATTAGTATGTAGTGAGAAATAAGTATTTGGTGCTAGCCTTACTAATCTTTCAGCCTTGTCCACAACTTCACCTAAGTTCTGACAGTGTATTCCCGACTATGAGTGAGTTTTTTTTTTTTTTTTTTTTTAAATTTGGTCCCTAAATCTTTTCTTTTCTAATATTGGTCTTTATTTGAAGTTTATTTAAACCTTTTTGGTTGCCAAACTACATAAAATGGTGATATTTTTGGGACAAAAAAAATCATTTTAATTAGAACATAAAAACAATCTGTCATAAAAGTCTCGTTAGAAAAACATACAGGTGATGAATATAAATAATGATACGACTTTTTAGATTTTATTTATATACCTTAATGGAATTTTCTGCAGTCATCATGATTCTGTGTGGATTTAATGTGTTACATTTCTTCATACACATTGTATAAAATGTATATAATCAATAAAGAATGTGTGAAAATAGCAATGTACTTGTGTTACTTTTCCAAGATTTCAAGTAAACAAAATAGTTGTAAAAGTAATAAACCATGGGACTAACAATAAAAAACCAAAATATGTGTGTGTCTTTTTGGTTGATTATTTCAATATAGAACCCAATTTAACCATCATATTTTATCTTACAATAAATAAATAAATAAATAAAACAACCCGATGGGAAAAAAACAAATACAACATATTTTCTCTAAGAAAATGGCAGATCGCGTTAGAAACGATACATAATTTGGGGTATTCTTTAAGATTACTTTGTTAATGATAAGAATTGCTTACCCTGTAAATCAAAGAGATGTACCATATCCGAACAGATGTAAATGGATGAGTTCTATTGAAGCAATCTATGAAATTGGACCTGCAGAAAAAATTAAATAAAAAAAATATTAACTAATTAATTAATAAATTATCATCATCCGTGGACATTTTCATCTGGTAAAAATGACCCTTTTTCCCTTAGTGAAGCAGAAGGTATCCATTATTCTGTAGATGGTAGATCAGGTTGACGATTTTCAAAACCCTAGAAATAAAGAAAAAAAAATTCAATGTAAATGCATGTAAGAAAAATAATAAGAGCAATTCCGTCTTTTTGACTTACCAGTCTTTCAGAGTCGAAATACAATCTAGGATCTCTCTTTGAACTATTAGACAAGGTAAGAATGAGATTTACTCTTCTTGAGCTCGCATCATCCCACAAATACTCCTCTTCCTCTGTATTCTTCCAATTCCTACTCACTTCACCACTTCCTTTTATAAGATTGTTGATAGGTTGTAATTTCACATCAGGAATTGAACATTCATCGAGTGAATAATTCGAAAATAACCCATGTCCATTACTTTCAAGCCTGGATATTGTATCTGTACTATCGATCTCATATCCATATCATGTCTTTTCAAGTCCTTCTTCACATGCTCTTCCATTGGACTATCCAAAACCACCCTTGGGCTCGATGTATCATAACCAAATTCATAATTCTCGTGAGTAAGATCACTCTCTGGATCTCTTTGTGCCTGCTGACATGGCAAAGCATAAATAGAACATTTTTTAAAATTTTTGTCAACATCAAATGTAACATACACGTTAATAACCTAGTGTAATTATCGTATTTTGTAAGCTTGTTAGTGAATATTATTGAATATTATATGATTTTGAGCGTTGAGTTCTAACAAGATAGTTTTTACGAGATTTGAAGTAAAACTATGTTTAGAATCATTCGGAAAATATTGGAAGTCTTATGAGATTCCGATCAAAAGTCAACTATAGAAATTAAGGAAAATATAAAGTTGGAAATAAGTAAAAATAATGATATTGAAAGTTGTAGATTATCTCGTTAGAAACATTTAGGCGAAAACCTCATCGAAATCCGAGTTATAACGAAGAAGTTATGACTCATTAAAGTTTCGCGACAAAACCGGCACGACGCTAGATGACGTAAAAAGTGAGTTTTCAATAAACTACTTTTTTAGCTTTAGTGATCTAAATGAAAGTTGTAGTATTGGTTAAACCGAAAGTTTTCATAAAAAGAACATCCAAATCTGACTTCGTATGAGGAGTTATGATTTTTCTAAGATTCGGCATAGCAGTACACAGCCCGAAACTCGAAATAAAGATCGATTGATTTTTAGCCAATACAACTTAAACGAGAATGGAAGGTCTCGTCAATATTAGTACAACGGTAAAAAGACAGACGAAAACGGAAGACGGATGAAGAAGTTATGAATTTTTAACGGACTTTTCCTGTCCCGGCCTGTTAAAAATATAATATTAAAAATGAAGTCAAAATTAGCCAACGGAGTCTAAACGAAAATTGTAGAGTATAATCTCACCTACGCGTGGATATAAAGAACGTCAAAAATGGAGTTCGTATGCGAAAGATATGAATTTCTGAAGTTCGGAACACAAACTTCGAGTTCTGACCAAACTCACGACGTGAGCAAGTATGGCTCACGACGTGAAGTAGTTGATCGACACCTCTCAAGCCTAGAAGACATGAGGCAAGACTACGAGCTGACCAGGATCGAGTTCACTACGTGAGCTTATATGGCTCACGACGTGAGACTCAAATTTTCGACCTATAAATAGAGGATCAGCTCTCTTGTTTCCGTTTACACAAAAACGCAACCTTTTCTCCCGTATTGTTGATTTTGAGCTATTTTTCCGAGCCGACGATCGTTAACTGCTGACAGTGTCTAGTCATATTCTACCAGTAAAAATGCACTTAGGGGGTAATTTCATCGCAACATTCGGTTATTTCACGGTGAGTTCAATATAGGGATAATTATATGTTATGTGTTATATGTGCAATGTGCTTTCTTGTATTATTCTGGTATTGGTATTATGCATTTGGTCATGTAGAGCATGACTCATATCACTTTTGGTATTGGCTTTGTGCCTTTGGCCATGTAGAGCATGACTCGTATCACTTTTGGTATTGACATAGGGCTAGGTAGGGTTGAAAGCCTGTATATTCTAGCAAAATGATAATCAGAAATTGTTTATTTTCTGTGCCACTTGGGCTGAAGTCTTATTGATGTATATCATGTTGAAATTGTTGTATCTCATCGATTGTAAATCTTTGAATCAAATCATTGGTTGATATGGAAAGCATGTCATATGATACACATATGCCTTTGATGTTCTTTGTCCCTCTTTACTCCTATATATATATATATATATATATATATATATATATATATATATATATATATATATATATATATATATGGCATAGCGTTATATTGTAACTGTTATTGAACTCACTAAGAGTCGTCTGCTTATCCCTCTCAGTGTTTAACCATTACAGGTGATAAGCATCCAGTATAGTCATGTACTGTTGGAAGATGTAGAATAGATAATATTATTACTTTTGTACTTAGTGTATAAATTCCTAGGAAGTTATGTAATATATAAAACTTTGTAAAAATCTTAATAGTTGGTTTCTATCCAGGCTTTTGTAAATTCTATTATGAATATGCATGTAGCATGTTTGGAGTAATAATATGGTAAGGTTTTAGAGAAGGGGTCTCACATTAAATTAACTACAAATACAAACTGATATAACCAAAACATCATAGTTGAGTGTGCATAAGTCAAAGTAGCTAAAAAAAACCAAAAGTAAAAAAAAATAATTACTCTTTGGAGCAATATGTCGAGTAGTTGGTAAATTCCACCCGATGAGGCATTGATGAAATTAATAAAAAAAGTAAATCCTGCAAAATCAATCGATTTATGAAATTAATCAAACAAACATAAAGTGGATTACTCATAATATTAGATCGGGAATGGAAGCAAGAGAGAAGAGATGGCACAGATTACATGGATCGATGAAGGGGGTGATTTGAAGCAGGAGTCGGAGATGCCTTTCATGAAAGAGGCGAAGGTTAGAGCCTAGATGAGGTGAGAATTAGTGGTTGTGTTCCAAAATCTGGTACACCGACAAGAAGCAATGGGGTTTATGAGAAATTGAACTTCTGAGAGCTCGCCTTCTGATCCTTCCTTCTTCTATCTGTGCATTCAACTAGAAAGTTCAATTTCAATTATGCACACACAAATCTAGATATAAAAAATACGTATATGTTTATGAGGAAATAAAAACCTTTCTGTGAGGAGGCATCGAATGTTCTTGAAATGAAATATTTGTCATCCTCTTCTTCTTCGTAACGATGATTCTTCACAGTCCTTACCCTCAACTCCACTTGATTCTACAGAAACACAAAATTCTATCATCACATAAATGTCGTAATTAAGGCAAACAATCAAAGTCAGATGATACGCATAAGCAAGGGTAAAGGTACGAACATAAAACCTACTGTTTAAGCATAGAGGAAGAGATAGAGCAGCAGCCGGTGTGGCGACGATGTCGGCGGTGATACAAGTCGGTACAGTGGAGGAGTTTGGTGGGTGTTCTTCAAAGGAATGTTGCAACAGTAAATAGTTGTAAACTTGAGATCGTGAGGAGGAGAAGAAGAAGAACTGAGGTTCATGCGTGCGGAGCGTCTAAAGAGAGGAATTCATCGGGATCGAGACCGTATTGTTTGAGCAACTTCCTCTTCTCTTCCGTGGAATTAGGTGATTCTGGAATCAAAACCCCAAAAAAAACAAATTAATCTGTTATAGGTGAGGAATTTGAGAACCAACAAATGGATTTTGTATAGATAGGGGTGGAGATGGAGTTGAGAAACTTACTGAGAGATGACGAACATACCTACAGAGGGAGGGAGAATAAGAACGGATATGGTAAAAAATAAAAATAAGTAACAGCGCAATAGGGAAGATAACATACCTACAAAAGAAACAGGCGGAGGGAGGGAGAACAAAAACGCAGCAACGAAAGAGCAACGAAGAGCAAAGAAGAAAGAAAGAGGAAGTAAGGAAAAGCGAAAGAAAGGAAGAGAAAGGAAGAAAGGAAGAGTGAAGAAGGAAGAAAGAGGAAGTAAGGAAAAGCGAAAGAAAGAGTAATGGAGGAGGAGGGCGGCGAGTTGGAAATCGGAAAGAAGGAATAAAATAATGGAAGACGATAAGAATGGAAGCTGTGGCCTGAAAATTAAAACAAAAACTTGCGTTGCCAAAAAGGAAAGAGAAAAAACTTCACTCTGTTTTTTAAGAATTAATAGTATATACTAATATTCGTTAATGTTGTTTCTAAAACAAGAACAATATTTGGGGAGGACTAATATGATGTCGATTAGAACATTTATATGAATAGCCGAATTCATCAATAAATATAACACATTAATCATAAACGTATACACTATGAACACCAATGACTCATTTTATATATTTGAAGTTATATTCATAATTGAATATAACTTTAATAAATACAAATAAACAAGATATTATTTACAATGTCATATTACCTATTATTCAATAATCGGATACCAATACAACCTAAATTATACAAGGTGTTGTATAAGAGGAATTTTTCTGATGTGGAGACTCTTATTTTAATCAAAGAGATAGATGTCCAACTAGTTCTGGTTTCCAATATTTTTCAAAAAAAAAAAAAAAAAGACAGTCCTACTGTTGATATCTAAAATATGTGTCTTCAAAATCTTTCTAGACATCCAAAGTGTGAAACTTGCAATTATATAACCAAATCGATCATAAATCTAAATTACCTTAATGACCTAGTGAGCAAATCAATTATCATTTACATTTACCAACCAAACTCAAAAAAATGTAATTTAACTTCATCACTATACTTTGTTAATCAGATGGTTAGTATGATGGTAACATAAATCTAAAAAGAGAAAATTTTGAAGAAATTGAAGATACAAGGTGAAAACTTTAAAGAAAAAATTAACTTCATCACCATAAATTGTTAATCAGATGGTTAGCATCGACAGTCACTAGATTACAACCAACAGGAACTCCAAAACTTTCAATTTAGGGAAAACTGTACAGAAAAATTTAGCATAATCAAGCTTTGTAGGCAGAAAATTGAAACTTGCTCACTGATTCTTGTCAGTCGAACTGTAATCCACACGATTTGTGGGTGTGATTTCTCTTCCATCGATCTCTCCCTTGTCTGGTTTTACCGATCGAATGGCGACCCAAACGGATTTTGGGTGTGGTTACTCATCCATCGCCAAGGAAACCCACAACCACATACATATAGAGAGGATGGTGCGCACGAGTGGTAGAGATGGTCCGAATAGTAGCAAAAATTGCAGTGGTCGGCTGGATGTGAATCAAATAAGGGGATGATATGGTGGCGATTTAGAATCTCGATCTGAACAGGATATATCATGTGTGTAGGTTTAAGAAGTTGGTTGTGTAATGAGGTTAATGGTGGAGCTGATCTCGGGGGTTGGTGATTGACTGATTCAAACAACGGAGTAGCAGGTGGTGTTGGATGGTTGAGTTCTGATGCTTGGTGATTTGCGGTGGTGTTCTAAAGGTTGTAGGGTCCATTTTGTGATGAAGATTATCAGAACAGGGGCTTTCAAGTAGGATCTACTATGAAAATAAAGACGGTGGGCTGCTGTGGTGTTTAGGTGATGGTGACTATGAACAGGATCTGCAAATGGTGATGATGGGTGCGTTTTGTTGTTTTGTATCTTCATAATTTATAAAATTTCTCCCCTATCCATTTTGTTATTTTGTTATTTTTTTATTTTGTTTTGTTTTTTTATTTTGTCATTTTGTTGTTTTCTATTTTTTCATTTTGTTGTTTTTTTAATTATTATTTAATAAAAAAAATTAATCAACACAATTTTTTTTAAAAAAAGCTCGTTTTAATAGTCAAAGTATACATGACATATAATGATGTCCGTCCACGTAATATTCTTTCGGCCTTGAAGAGTTAAAATGAACACAATGTAAGTACAATAGAAACCATTTATAATGCACGAGAAAACTATCGATCACAAATGTGTGCAGATCGAAGCGAAATGCAATTTGTATTCGAAATTTTGCAGTTAAAATGATATATATATATATATATATATATATATATATATATATATATATATATCATACAGAGGATACGAAAAATGAGTTGAAAGACTTGTTTTTTGTTCATCAGATATCATTGAATATATAGCGTGCATTTCCACAAGTGTTAATGATGGATGTCATGTATAAGACAAACAAGTATAACATGCCTCTTCTAGAAATTGTTGGTGTCACTTCAACAAACAACACATTTTCCATAGCTTTCGTGCTTATGGACGAAGAGAAAGAGGCAAATTATACTTAGGCATTAAATTGTCTGAGGACCACGTTAGGTGGATATGATGGGTCATTTGTAATCGTCACAGATAGAGAATTAGCTTTAATGAATGCATGTGCAAATGTATTCCCCGAATCCAAGCGGATACTCTATAGATGGCGCATATCTGAATGTATAAAGAAATACTGCAAAACAAGTTTAAAGTCCAAATGTATTTGGGGATCATATAAGAAAGGATGTGTAACATCCCAAGTTCGGAAGCAAGAAGTTGAAGGATGCTAAGTAAAAATAAAGGAAGGGACTCGGCGAGTAGGTCTTTTGACTCGCTGAGTCGAAGCGGGTGCCTGACACGGGGTTAAGTGGACTGACTCGACGAGTCGGCGGATGGACTCGACGAGTCAGTGCTGGTCGAGGAAAAACCCTAATATTCGGGGTTGCGCCCTATTTAAAGGACTTAATGTCCTCCCCTCAGCTCCCTTAGCCCCCTTTGAGATCCAGAAACCCTAGAATCGTGAGTGAGAGCCATTGGAAGCAAATTGGAGCACTGTTAAATGTTTTGTGAAGAGATCTTAAAGATCAAGAAGCTTGAATCAAGGAGATTTGTGAAGATTCAAATTACTCTTCAGTAGGAGGTCGTTTTGGAGGTAAAGAATCGTTATCCTTGGCTTTCTCCTTTCTAGATCCATCTTTCATGGAAGTTTTAGGGTTGTTTGGAGATGATATGATGAGATCTTGGTGTATAAGTTAGATCTGGAGTTGAAACTCTAGATCTGAGCTCTATTTGGATCAAAGATGCAGAAAGCCCTTTTGGTTGCTATGCAAAAGCCTTTCCCCAAGAGTTAAGTTCCTTTCTAGCTTGGTTTTTGGTATTATGGGGCAAGAAGCACGTAAAGGTAGCAACTTTATGTTGCTAATGGACTCTAGAGACCCAGATCTATTGTTTGGAGCAAAGGAGTAGCTCTGTGACTCGAGATTCTGGGAATGCACGTATGGACTCGGCGAGTCTGGGAGATGATTCGGCGAGTCGGGCTAGAGATCAGACTTTGAGTCGCGTAGTAACTCGGCGAGTCGCATGGGTGACTCGGCGAGTCTTATGATGATGAGCTTGGACTCGACGAGTTGGAAGAACAACTCGGCGAGTCTATTGAAGATTGTCGTGGACTCGGCGAGTCTGTTCTTGGACTCGGCGAGTCTGGTCGCAGAACCCAACCTCTTTTGGTTAAAGCCTCAGATTAGTGAGTCGGTTGGCGACTCAGTGAGTTGGACAGGATGGAACTCAGAGATCGTTGGACTCGACGAGTCTTGGGGCGACTCGGCGAGTTAAGTCGTGCTATGAGAGTTTTCTGAGTATGAGAACTCGACAAGTCGACGGGTTGACTCGGCGAGTAGAGTCAATCAGGAAGGTTGACTTTGACTAAGGACTTTGACTTTGACCAAGTGTTGACCAGTTTGACTTCCAAGGGTATTTTGGTAATTTTGGTATTGGTTCCTTGGTAGTGTGCTGTGGTGAAGTTCGTGTCGGTGGTCGGAGCAGCTTGGTCATATCTCTTCAGTCGGCAATTTCAGGTGAGTTATCCTCACTATATCGACAGGGTCTGCAGCACCAAGGTCGGCCTTTATCGGATGGAAATTCGGATATTGTTTGTTATGTTATTGTTTTGCTAGATCTGCATCCTGGTATTTAGGGTAATGTTATGTTAGTGACCTGGTTAAGGTCGGTACCCGTCATATAGGATAATGTTATGTTAGTGACCTGGTTAAGGTCGGTACCCGGTATATAGGGTAATGTTATGCTAGTGACCGGTTAGGTCGGAATCCTGGTTAGGATGTTGATATGCTATGTGATCTGTTAGACTGATAGTCTGGTTAAGGATTTGTTATGTGATTAATTGTTTTATGTGCACATGGTTGTTTGACGGGGGTTGGGTTGAGGCGGGTCCTGCTTTGTGCTGTAGGCCAACATACCCAGGGCGGACCGGATATTCCGAAGGCCCAGCGAGCGGTCCGGATAGGCTGAAGGCCCCAAGAGGGCGGACCAGACGTGCCGAGGCTCGGAGAGTGGACCAGGCCGACTGAAGGCCCGGTGTGGGCGGACCAGTCATGTTGTAGACTCAGAGAGTGGACCAGGTGGATTGAAGGCCCGGTGCGGGCGGACCAATCACACTGTAGACTCGATGTCATGGCTAGACTCGGAGGGTGGACCAGGTGGACTGAAGGCCCGGTGCGGGCGGACCAGTCACACAGTAGACCCGATGTGCATGGCTGTTCTATTTGTGATATGTTATGAGTATGTTTATGTGTGGTTGGTATTTTAGGGGTAACTCGCTAAGCTTTCAGGCTTACAGTTCAGTGTATTGTTTCAGGTACTTCAGGAGATCGTGGCAAGGCGAAGGCGTGATCGTACCGCTCCTCATGTTTTATGATTTATGTGATATGGTTCTGGGGGATACTCTGATGTTTAAACTATTTTGAAAACGAGATGTATGAACTTAATGGTTTTTGAATGAATTAAAATGTTTTAATTTGGCTCAATTTTTATGGGTGTTACAAGTTGGTATCAGAGCCAGGTTTGAGTGAATTGGAGGAACATTCGTGTGAATCCAGTCTCAAATCAAGGAGGGATTTTCAAAATGGTTTTCAAAAGGTTTACAAAATAAGTAAAGGAGGATGCAGAGGGTACGATCAGCCAGAGCCAGTAAGTAGACCCCAAAATACCATAAAAATTATTGATTATGTGATATGTTAGAACAACATGCTGGTACTAGGCTAGGAATCTTCAGGAATTGCATGATAGAATTGCCTGATTTGTGATGCCTGTTAGCCTAGGGTTTTCTTGATATGAGATATTTGGTATTCCTCTAAGGGTGAGGATTGAGTGCTTGCTATGTATGTTTGTGCTTAGGGCGTTGTGGTGATACTTGAGACAAATATGGGTAGGTGTGGAAGGTAGTATGGGTCCATACTACTGAAAGCACATGACCCATACGCGTGTCAAGGAAGTCACAACCGTTAGGTTGTTGGTTAGAGGTTAGTTCGCGGCGGTTATGCGAGGAGATCAGGTCAGCGCCAGAGGTGTCGGCCGTATGGCGGATGCGAGACGTTTCGAGTTAGGATTCGGTTCGGGATCGGGAGAGGGTGGTAAGGATGGATCAGCACCACCCGGGGTTATTGGTCAGATGAGGACGAATGAGTTGGATGCTAGGATTCGGGAGATCCTGCATGAGGAGGTTGCTGCTATGTTCCGGGCCGAGTTACCAGAACTGTTTGGGTCGATCAAGACCGCCATGGTTGAGTATTTTGATGAGCGCTATGCAGCTCTTGCAGAGACAGCGGCCGCGGCAGCCGCAGCGGCTGTGGCAGCGGCAGGGGGAGGAGCCAGTCGGGGTTTTCAGTATCAGGATTTCGATGATACGAAGCCCCTACCTTTGATGGAGTTCAGGATCCTATCATTGCTATGAGATGGTTGTCAGACGTAGAGGGTTGTTTCTTCACGTGTTCATGCCCTGCGGATCAGAGGGTGAGGTGTGCTCTGAACCTTTTAAGGCTCGAGGCGAAGGATTGGTGGAGGTTGACTACGGGATCTTATTCTGATGCGCAGCGAGCTGCGGTTACTTGGGATCAGTTCCGGGAGATGTTCAGCACTCGTTATATTCCACGGGTTGAGAGAGAGAGGTTGGCTCAGGAGTTCCTGGAGCTAAAGCAGGATTCAGATTCGGTGACGAAGATCACCAGGATGTTCACTGAGAGGGCGATGTTTTGCCCGGAGTTTGCTTCGGAGCAGGCTCAAATGTCCCGATATCTGAGTATGCTCAAGAGGGACATCAGGCAGTTTGTGCCCACGCAGAGGTGTGATACCTTGTTAGAGTTGCAGGAGGCGGCCAGGCGGCGGGAGTTAGAGATGGAGTTGCAGTTACGAGAGCAGAGGCAGGCCCCGATGCAGTCGCAGCCGGCGCCAAAACGGTCCAAAACTGTTGACTCTAGGGTTGGAGGTCAGAGCAGCCACATTTGTGAGAAGTGTGGGAAGGGACATGCCGGAGTTTGTAGGTCCAGTGGTGCGTGTCGCAAGTGTGGGAAAGAGGGGCATTATCCGAGGGATTGCCGTCAGGCGGTCCCGGCTCAGGATATGAGGATTTGTTATCACTGCCATCAGGTTGGACACTTGAGAGCCAACTGCCCACAGTTTGCTGCAGGATCGGTGCAGGCTCCAGCACCGGCCACTTTGAGGATTACTGGCGGGGGTCAGGGTGGAGCGGAGCCTCCGAGGGCTCAGGGACGCACATTCCAGCTTACAGCAGAGGAGGTCAGGGTAGAGCCAGATGCAGCTGCGGGTATGTTTCCATCTTGTTATCTTGTTATTTGTGTGGTATTGTAAATCTGTCTGCATTGTTCCGC